TTGGCGAGCAATTCGCCAAAAGCTTCATCCACCTGCATTTCTTCGTTTTCCTTATCAGACATGTTTGAAAGTTTTTATTTTTTCACATTTGTCAAACAATTTTAGTTATGTCGTTCACATGTTCGCCTCAATGATATCCAATACCATTGTTGTCATACGATGTTTCTTTGTTTTCTGTCGCTCGAGATAAAAGTTGACGAACTTCGTAAGAAACAAGAAACACGTGACAAAAAACATGATTATCGGTAAAACAGTGCTCAAAGAGGCAAAAAGATAACAGACAAAAAGCAAAAAACAGGAAGCAAAGAGCACATTGTAGATCAGCCTTTATTGATGTTAGAAAAAAATTGGAAACATATGTAGAAAATCAGCAATTTCTTGTAAATATTGGAAAAAATATCGCTTTTGATGATAAAAACAAAGTACACTGTAAAAATAATGAAGATAATATAATGTCAGGTACTCATCAAAGTCGAATTAAAGAATATATCGATAATTTGTTGGCTATTGCTAAGAAGTAGTATGTTGGCAGGTATGGGGCGTCACAACAAACCCCCACCACCTACCCCGTCTAGGCCCCCCGCAGTGGGTCTGGCGCCAAACATTCCCCCACTCCTCTCTGACGAGATGAGAAAAAAAGATGGCGGCTACGGGTAAACAAGATGGCGGATGTTGACAAGATGGCGAAAATTTTTTATTTTTCCGAATTGAGAAAATCCAAACGGGGTTCAACCTGGATCGATGGATTTCTAGTCCTGGTCCTAGTCTGCTGGGCTACCTATAGATCTAATGAAGCAAGTCGTAGGGTCGTATTTATAGTAGGCGCGGGATGACGTAAATTTTTATTTTTTTTCGAATTGAGAAAATCCAAACCGGGTTCGAACCTGGATCGCTGGGTTTCTAGTCCTGGTCCTAGTCCGCATGGCTACCTATAGATCAAATGAAGTAAGTCGTAGGGTCATATTTATAGCTATGAGGCCTGGCAGGTATGGGACCTGGCAGGTATGGGGCATCAAAACAAACGACGTCACACAGTCGCCTCTAGTCCGTGAAGGGAAGGGACGTATTTATGTTGGAACCGCGTCTACATGAGGTACCCCCATAGAGATATAAGACTAGAGGGAGCGAGTCGTATGCTAGCACGTAAGAGGCCGCGATATAGCGATAGAAAGAGAACGCTGCATAAGGGCCCCTCTGTCTTTGTCTATACGCGCATGCGCTTTTGCGCTGCTCATTGTCTATAACGCATTTAGGTTCTAACCTCTTGAACAGTTTGAAAAGATAACCTTAAAGAAAAATTCTCAAAATTACAAACTTATTACAGCAATCTACTACATATGCGCACGCTCCGCACGCATATATTCCATGATCTGCACATGCGCACATAAACAAAGACAGAGGGGCCCTTATGCAGCGTTCTCTTTCTATCGCTATATCGCTCTTTCAGCTCGTTCGCTCCCTCTAGTCTTATATCTCTATGGGTAGGATAGAACCCCAAGTGGGGGTTACGCGCAGTGTTGCTAGACGGGACGCTTTTTTTCACGAACGCACTTAAGAATCGGCCTCAACGGTGTACTAATTGAGGAAAAAAAGGGCACTTGTAGACCCTTCTATTAAAAAATTATTAGAAAATTTTGTTTATCGTTAAAAAGTGATAAAAAGTAATAAAATAATAATAAATTAAACGCATGTAAATATTATGTTTATTTTTATAATAATAAAATAATTAATAAAATTTAATGTACATATAATAATGTAAATATAATGTATATAAAATTAAATGTATAGTTGGCTTTCCAACTATATTTGTAATAGGTATTTCATATTTTTGTAAAAGTTTTTTAAATAATTCAAAAATACTATTTGCAGAGCAATCTGCAGCATTTAATTCTAATAATTCTAATAGTTGTGTTTTAACTTTTTTTTTAACGGAGAAAAAAATTGAACAAGAACGCATAAAATTTTAGTATCTCCAATATCCGTGCTTTCATCTATTAAAATTGAAAATTTTTGATTCTGTAAAATGTTAACAATTTTCTTAATTTCCCGCTTTGCAAGAACTTCTTTAATAATATTGGTGCACTTTGATCGAGCCAGTGAAAGATCTTGCACGATTGAAGAATCT